CAAGGTCAAACTGATGTGATCAGTAAATACATCTTTTTAAACGCCACAACTTTTATCTGAAACATTTTTTTCTAAAATGCTTAGTTTTCGAGATATTTCACCGGTCCGGGACTTTTTGAACCTGTATATTATACTTATTCACATTCAAGTATTTTTACAACGCGTTTTCTTTTACATGCAAAAAGGGAGGCATTTCCGTTAAATAAATGAAACAGATAAAGCTATGTTCTATAAACATACGTGGTGGAAGTTGGCGTATATAGAGTTAATCAGCAAGCGTTGAAGAACAACTTATGATGCGGCAACTTATTGACGAAATTATAATGAAACAATTGTTGAATTGTGAAGGAAGTCGATCAAGTGACAATCCAAATTTCCCGGAAATTTCTCCTTAAATATGTTTGGATTTTTCACAAATTCGATCTTCGATTCAGTGGACGAGCTCTTTTGAATGTCAAAACGTTTGTATGTTTTTGGATTTTCAAACGTGGGATCTTTAAAACAATGCATACTTTTTCTTTCTCTGTCTAAGGTAGTAACGGTTCTAGTTATGGGTTATTGAAAATTAGAATGACTTCCATTTATTTACGTAAATTTGTCGATTGAATATTAAACTGTTAGTAATTATATAAAACAACAAACATCATAGTCTTGAAGTAATATTATTAAACTTTAAATTAATTGAGATTCCAAGTAGAAGAAGTAACTAGAAACATTTATGCGAAAATCTCAATTATATTGGCAAATATTTCGTATTCCTATAACGAGTTATGCGATACCCTTTACATTAACAATGTCCACGCAATCTACCAACAATTTCGTAAATTTAAAGACTGACCGTGACATAATTGGAACCGTTATCTTATCTATCTTTTTCTTTCGCTCTTTTGATCTCTTTTTTCTCGATGTCTAACACGGTTTTGATGAGAAGAAAAAAAATATATATATTACAAAGATATACGTACCTTATTTATCACATTTAAAAAATCACAGAGTTTTTCACCAATTGCTGTATTTATGATACGATATATTCGATTATTGCATAAAATTGTTACCTCTAAATCTTCTTTGGTGTTAATTATTAGTATTTTATTGCAATAAAAACTCTTTTGGGTTTCTGTCGATTTCTGTCGATGTATAATCGTTGATCCGACTTGTCTCTTAGTGCTGTCTCTTAGTGCTTTTATTTTTACAGACTAAAAACTTCTGCGGAAGCAGAAACTGAATTCTTTCGTTAAAGGTGGGGGACCGTGCACATGCGCATGCGCCTTTTTCATCATATTCAATTTATTATGAATCCTAACATTAGTTTTAAAGAAGAAAAAAAAAGGGTCTTTTGTGTTCCTTTCATCTATAATCCATTTTTCTTGTATTTTTTGAAGGCTCAACGAATATATCAATAGGTTAGGAAGCAGCTACTGACCGCTCTGTACGATGTAAAGTCTGGCAAAATTAATGAATAGGATAGAGTTAGGCTAAAATCTAGTTTAGGTTAAAGTTTAGGTTCTCGACAAAACAGATGTTTCTGTAGGCTTGCCGTCTGACCGAGGTAGTATTTTGTGCAACGCAAATAATTCGGTAAATAATAATAACGAGAGACGGGTGGGATAATATTATTTTTTCTTCTTTTTTCGAAAATGGCATATTAAATACCAACATGTATAGGCACATATGTAGACGTTACAATATTGTAAAAATTTCCCTAATCAGATAAATAATCTAATCAAAATTTTACTCGCGACAATATTTTCTCGCGATTGAGAATCTGAGGTACTTGAAGTAGTTATTAACCCATTAACGTCCAAATGTACTGAAATTTTACGCTGAGCCATTTATTTTACTACGGAAATGAGGTTTATTGTTTATAAAGAGTACCATTCCTACCAATCGATGTCGCTCTATCGAATAACATTGAGAAAATTAAAAAAAATTGCAATTTATGCAAAATTTTTACAAAATAAAATAAAAAGACATATGATTTTAGGGCTAATTTTTTCTTCTTCTGCTATTTTTTCCGTAAAAACGTGTTGGGAACACGTTTTAGATACTTTCTCGAGCGATACTAACATTTTTATGGAGAAAATAGCGGAAGAAGAAAAAATTAGCTTTAAAAACATGCGTTTTTTAATTTTACTTTGCAAAAATTTTATAAATTATGATTTTAAAAAATTTCATAAATTTCAAAAAATTTCATAAATTTCAAAAATTTTATAAATTATGATTTTAAAAAATTTCCTCAACGCTATTCGATAGAATGGCATCGAAATTGGTAGGAATGATACTCTTTATAAACAACAGACCTTATTTCCGTAGTAAAATAAATCGCTCAAATTAACGTAAAATTTCAGCATATTTGAGTGTTAATGAGTTAAAAAACAAAATCTTCTCGTCTCGTTTTCTGACTGACACTCGTAAGAAAATTAGAATTCGCGCTATCGAGGAATAACGAAGTCCGCGCGCGGACTCTCTCTTTCCCTCTCGTCTTCTCCCTCCCTTGCGAGAGAATAACGAATTTTGCGCTCCGGTATCGAGTTTAAACAGCGATGCGGGCCGCGGGCGAAATCGTTGCCTCGCGTTTTGACCGCCCAAGATTCGAAGGGCGGCCGTGCCCCGGTAGGTAATAATTATCGGCAAAGAGGGCAACTCGGCGACGGCGGAGGGGAGGAGGAGGGGCACAAGCTTAATCGTTTGGATTTAATTAGCGGATGAGGCTTTTGGGTTTAATTAGCGGTCCTGCGTAGCCAATGTCGCTTCGTTTAAAGACGCGAATGCCATCGCGCGCATCGTGCTCGCGGTGCCCTTCGCGTAATTACACCCGATGGCCGACGACGGTCGCCCGTAGCGTTGCCCTCTTTATTCCTCCCCCACCCTCCAAACTCGGGTCACACGCACGCACGCCAATGCGCGGCTGTTACCCTTTTCTCCGACGCGCTGTTACGTTTCCGTGGACTAGAGCGATCTGAGGATTCCATCATTTTGAGAAGTCCAGCTCTGCACGGGGGAGGGCAATTAAAATATCATCAATCATTGGCGATTGTTTACCTTGGCGATAAGGGGAAACGCGTGTATGACTACGTGTACGGCCACGCGAAAAGAATCCCTCGAGTTCAAGTCAGAATTATCTCGTCGAAACACGTGTCACGGCATATGCTGTGCATTTGGAAGATAACGGGTGCATTCGGGAAACACGCTATCCGGTTCTTCTATCTTTATCGCTCCATAGATATACAACAAGGATCGAATGACGCTGAATAGCGCCAATTGCGAGCTCCCCGAACGCACCCTAAGTCTAAAGCCTGATCTATAATATGCTCTTTGCTTCCTGCTTCTTTCTTTTTATCTCTTTCTGACTCAAATCTGAAACTTTAAGTCAGAGAAAGATAGGAGACAAGAAACAGAACGCAAAGAGCATATTGTAGATCAGGCTTTAAACTTGATCTATAATGTGTTATTTGCTTCCTGCTTCTTTCTCTTTATCTCTTTCTGACTCAAACCTTAAGCTTTAAGCCAGAAAAAGACAGAAGACAAAAAACAGAACGCAAAGAGCATATTGTAGATCAGGCTTACGTGATGTAAATATAATGATTATCCTCTTGATGATAGGCTTCATCATAGGCGTTAACGTGAAGCTAAACGTGAAAAAAAAATTTTGAGGAATGTAACTGTGACCGGTTTAAGATAATTGATAGGTTTCTCGTACCTAAACCTTTTTAAGCCTTTTCGCATATTATTATAGCCTTCATTTTCTTGAAATTTGTACGCTTTTTCATCTTTTTCAATCTTTTCTATACACGAGGAATTTCTGTTCGATATTTCAAATTTTTCATTTTCGCTGACATGAACGTTTACTTCGCCGATTCTGGCAGGCTTTGAAGAAGTGTAGAATTGTTAGAAAGAAAAGGAAGTAAATACAATCTTATGTACTACTATGTAAGGTAAACTCGGATAAGATGGCCATACTTTTTTAAAATGCGAAAAAATTCATTTCTTATTGTTATTTCTTAATAGCGTTTAACTTCACTGAAGCCTACAGGATAGTAGAGTCAAAAGAAAAATACTTCGGTGAAATTATTTATTACAAAAATATCAAAACATGAGCATCTTATCTAAATGTTAAAGATGGCCATAAGGAATAGATGACCCATACATATTTTATGTTCAAGATTCTGTACCTATTATTTTATAAAATAATGAAAAAAACATAATTTGACATATTCATTTTAGTATAGGATATTTAATACATATTATTTGTGAAAAATGTAATATACATATAAAATAGAAACCTCTATTACAAAACTTTAAATTTTAAATCCAATTTTTAATCAAAACATATTGCACATAAGATTTAATTACTGTAATATTGAAAGAAATTTTTGAAATATAACGACTTTTGTTTTATAAATGTTAGAATGATAGTGGGCCATCTTACTCAAAATGTGAGTAAAAGACTATTATAATAGTACTTATAAATAAATAGTGAAAATTAAAATAAAAATACACGTTATATTACAATTTACATGCCTACTTTATATATCTAACGTTGATTGCGATAGCTTAACTGTAATTTATTCAACGTT